ATAAATTAATAATTTCTAGCAATTATCAATTTTTTCCGGCCCAACTTGGGACCTTATAAAAAGTGAAAAAATGGATAAAATGATAAGATAAAAATGTTCAAAAAATCTTTTATATATCTATAGATCCCAACAATACCATAAATAAATAAGTGCTCTAAAAGTAAAAAAAAAAGTATAAATATTTAGGAAAATATGAACAATTGATACTTTTTTTAGTCCCTTGAGATGATATAAACTATATATGGATTTTTAATATTCAGAAGAGTTTTAATACTTGATTTACTCAGATGTAAAGACAATTGAAAATTAAGTAATTTAGAGATGGTTCTTTTTTCTCATTGAAATTCTTTAAATTAAGTATTTATTAATTTATTGATTATTTAATAATTCTATATATTAATAAATTTTAGTGGTCCTAACATAGTTATTTTATAGAAATTCTACAGTAAAGAAATTACAATAAATTGATAGTTAATGCATTTTACATTTAAAAAGAAAAAACTACGATAAAACTATGTGAGTAGTGCATTATTATCATTCAAAGATGTATGAATTAGCTAAAAGATTTAAAATTAGCTAAAAGAAATATTACGAATCAAACTATGTGAGTAGTACATTATTTTGATAAGGTCAAAAGTTTCGAAACTACTCTAACAATGATTAAGGCATGTGAACGGGTTGGATAAGTGATTAAATAACCTTAATGGTTGGAACCAATACGTTTTAACTGGTAGGATAGTTAGTTAAAATATTAATTTTTTTATAACATTATTAAAGCACCTCAATGAGTGCAAAGTAAAATAATTCATAGCAGTATATTTGATTTATTTGTATTAGGACACAACAATTCAATTTTACAAGTATCCCTATTACTATTATCGTATAAGACAATTATCCAACAATTTAACCTTACATAAAAAATTTGAATAACTTATATCTTTAATATATGTACACCCAATTCAAGATATATAAAAAATTTATTTTAGTAGACTTAGACTTTCTGCTCACATAAAATACAATTTGCATCGTGAGTGACTTATTATTTTGGCTCAATTAAGTATGATTTTTTTGGGGAAAAAAAAATTCAAGCCAGTTCATGTGAGAGCAAAAAAAAAAAATGTTTATTTAAAAAGATCAAACTAAAATCTCCTTTCAGAAATTAAGTTATTGATTTATTTTTTAAAAAAATATAATTCACCCAATGTACCCCATTTAAATGTGGATAAAACCCTTCTTTACATACCTTTAGTAGGAAATGAACTCGGGTATAATATTAAGAAACACATTATCCTAACCATTAGAATGTTATTCAATTTCCTATGTTATTGATTTATTTGTTAAGAAAATGTAACGAGAAAAGAAGATTTTATATGAAGAAGATTTTTTATCAATCGATTAAAAAGATAAAAGTAGAATGCAAAAGGGTTGGAAAGTCTTTTCTCTCAGTTGGATTGTCTGCCACGTCCAGTTTACACCCATGGTTAGTTATATGTTACTCTGTCCAAATTACATGAAAAAAAAGTTAAAAAACATGAGGCAAAGACAAAGAGATGAGTAAAGAACAACCACTATGATGTACAAAGAAGTATGCATGATTTAATCGTGCAATTTACTTTTAATTTCTTCAATTTTTATTTTTAATCTCGAAAACTTATTTTCTTGATAACTTTTTTGTTCCGTTCATCAGACGGGTTAAACATTTAATAGATGTTAGAAGTTAGAGGATTTATGTTAAGATAAATGTTAAAACTGTATACGACTTCGACTTTTGCATCCCTTCGAAAAAATAAATAAAATGTTGTAATGATACTACTCTAACAATCGCTTTTAATATAGTATCATCAAAAGTTTTCAATCATTAGTCATTCCAGATTTTCCTTTGGTTCTTATTTAATAGTTTCATAATGTCACCAATAAATCTACGATTATCTTATTTACTAAAAGATTTAGATAAAGGAGTCAGACCTTTCTTTTTCTTTAAAAAAAAAAAAAAACTTTAGGTGAGTTGAATGGTTTACCTTGATGGGAAAACTACAGTTTATCTTCAGAGAAAAAAACTACGATTTAACATAAGAAATATAAAAAATTTTACGGTCTTAATGAACTAATTTCCATTTTTAATTTGGAGAGGATATCAAAAAAATATTACTTCATGATATAAGCGGAAGATTATATCTTGATTAACTCATATAAGTTGAAAAAGCAGAAAGACCAAGAAATTACCAATACGAAGATAATTTGATATTCTTTCGGTTCCATAAATAAAAGCATGTTGTTCTGAAATAGTTTAACATACGGAACTCTAATTATAGGATGATATAGTAGTATTATCTATCAATCCATAAACAATCTTTTCTTCTAGTTTATGTAAAGCTTATAAGTTGAAATGTGAATGATTACAGCGTTAGTTTGGGAACACATGCATATTGAAATCTATTTTTTCAAATTTTAAATCAACTTCTTACATTTTTCATGTAGACAATAATATTCAATTTTTCCATGAGTTGGATAAATTATATACTCCCTCCGTCCCAGTTTGAGTTTTTATTTCTAGTTCGAAATATACTAAACATGAAATCTCAAGTTGGACAATAATTTTGAGACAAATGAAGTATTCACATTAGGTAATGCATGGGTGCCAAGAAGAATGCTTTACCTACCATCCCCAAAATCCAAATAATATAAATTAATCTCATGCAAATCTTCAGCGCCCGCTACTCCTAATGGGTTTATCACAAAATTGTCAAGTCAACATCTCTAACTCGTTTTTTCTCAAATTTTGACCACATCTAGAGTAGAGTACTATAGAGTAATATATAATAAAGGACATTCTTTATAGTTTCAGAAAGCGCCTAAGCCAAGTGTGTTATATATATATATATATATATATATATATATATACGGCTCCCTAGTTAAATTATGATTGAAAATCATGTGGAAGTCTCTTTTTATTGCATCAATTTTTTGTTTAATTTTTTTTCTTTATCTTCCCTGATGATCATTTCTGGTGAAGGTATTTACTAATTGAAAATATAGATAATGACAAATACATGTCTCCGTAAATTAAGACCCTCAGGGAAAGCAGTTTTCTCAAAGTTAGATAGTTTTGGGTTTACAACGGAAAAAAAAAAAGAAAAATAAATAAATTAAAAAAAAAAACATCGGGGATGTTGTCAAAAAATTGGTCTAAGACTCGATGCGATCGTTGAAAAAAATTATGTTTGAATTCAAAATGTATCATCTTCTAGCAAAATTCTCAAGGTTACCATTAAAAAAAAGAAAAAAGATTTTCTATTCCTTGTGTCGTAACGCTAATTATAGTCTTCGTCATTATCGAATAGTATTTCAGTTTGATGAGTTTAACGACAATGTGTTGAAGTGAAATCATGTCTAATTTTGCCTGATTTTACGTGATGTTAAGGATAGTTTTATAACCAAATATATGAAAGGTGAAGTCAACAACCGGAGTCAAATGTGGGTAGCTAATTAAAGGCGTCAGTTCCCTGATGTCAATCATCAATGTTCCTATGTTGCGTTTGGTCAACTTCCGCTATTTTAATAGGTTTGGAGTACGAAATTGTTGGTCTTTTTGGTCCATAGAGACCATGAACACAGGCTCCTACACTTATAATTGATCTCCTTAACAAATATACTTTAGCTATTTTCATCAATTAATCGTTATTTTATTTAACTAAATCTATATATAAATTGGGGTTTTTTTTTTGAGGGAAGGAATATTAACTAATTGACAAATTAATGAAAAGTGACAAAACATGCATGTGTAAAACGTTGACGGAAAAAAGCTTTGAACTTTTTGTTCGTAGGTCTTGATGGGTGCATTTCATTACGTACAGGCATGGACAAATTAAGAAAAAAAAAAAAAAACTTACTGGATATATGCAAAAGACCAAAACAAATTTAGTGTACCTGCAGAAAAATTCACTCATAATTGCTTGTACCACTGGTTTACCCATTTCACTTGACAAAGATGGGAATATCCATCCTATATTTTGTGCATTAAAATTCATCAATTAGTTCAAATGCACATTAATTAAATTACCAACTAATTGACGTTGACACCATCAATTAATTTGATCAATAATCCACCATCATCTCATGGTAGTAGTAGAAAATTAGAAGCATATAATTCAACTACTCTTGTTTTTTTTTTTTTTTTTGGTCCTTAAGCGGAAGGTGTGATATTGCGTTTGATTCTGCCTGGCCTAATTAACTCTCATTGGTTAAAAGTTCTGCGGATTGCTAATCCTCCGAAAATGTATAGACCAAACTTGTCAACTACTAATGCAACACCAAATATAATAAATAAACGTATCAATACCACAAAATTAGCAAGTCTAGAATATTTCAATTATTATTTACTTTTCTTTAAAAAAAAAAAAAAAAAAGACAAAGAAAAAATCGTGCTACATCTTATTCTACATATTTGTTGGCATTTCAAATGCCTCTAGCATATTTTTGACCTAACATTTATTCAGTTTGAAATGAATTGCGTAGATAATAAGAATAAAACTGTAAATATAAAAAATTTAGGAAGGGCGCTTTAATCAGTATTCCACTATGTAGATTTGATCTTTTCCACAAATCAATTGTGATAGTAGGACTCAGTTAAAGGAATCTCCTCCAACTCCAAGCCAACAGGAGCTTACATATATGCTGATGATTGTCCGAACTCCAATTAAACGCATAACTCCTATAATTACATAATTCAAGTCAACACGCAGGCGATCATCAAAGTTCACTAAACAATGAATTAACCAATTCGATTAATGAAAAAAAAGAGAAGAGAATATAAGTTTTTCTTCTTTTTTTTTTTTAAAAAAAAAACAAAAATTAGACTTCCCAGACAATCCAAAAGTTGGCATAGCAAAAGATGCCTCCCCATCCCATACCGATAGTATAGATATGCCAATCTTTAGACCCATTCCCATTTTACTTCCTCAGAATTTCTCTCTATATAAATTGGTCAGAAATTCTAAAACCTTTCATCAAAATCTTTCTTCTAGTGCTTAGTGACCAAATTTGAGGCATTTAGGCGCATTACTACTATTATTACTATACTACTATACTTTGCTTTTTTACACACACAAAAACGTGTGTGTCTGTTTTCCCACCACTGGTAAGAAAAAAAAGAAAGTCTTAGTTTAACAACCAAAGCATTAAAGAAAAACAATAATAATAATAATCCCATATTCAGAGAGCCCACCATACTATAAATAGTTGTGTTTTTGTTTCGTTTTGTATCCAAGTCTTCTTCTTCTTCATCATCGTCTTCTCCTTCACACTGATTGATCTTCCCTCGTGCAGAATTTGATTAATACAAACTTTCTACTACTATATTAATCTATTACCAGTTTTATTTGTCTTTCATGATTAATTTCTTCGTCACGCACACATTATTAGACCTTACAGATTAAAATCCAATACACACGAGAATTAGGTGACACACTGAAGTTGCATCATTCTTCGGACCATTTTCGCTGAAAACTCTCTAACCAATCCTTTTTTTCCTTTTCTTTTACTTCTATATATACAGCTTCTATTTCTGGGTGCGCTGATTGAGTTGTAGCTTAGCTAGAAAAAAGAAAGAAAAGCCAAAAAAAAAAAAAAAAGGGAGGGAGAAGCCGATCAAATTAAGATAATCATCATGTGGAAGTTGAAGATTGCGGAAGGTGGAAACAGCCCATATTTGTACAGCACAAATGATTTTGTTGGGAGGCAGACATGGGAGTTTGATCCGAATGCCGGAACTCCTGAAGAAAGGGAGGAAATTGAGAATGTTCGTCGTGAGTTTTGGAACAATCGTTACCAAGTTAAGCCCAGCAGCGACCTCATCTGGCGCATGCAGGTACTGAGTTTGATTCATTCATACTCCAAATGATAATTTTCATGATGATTTTATTCTATACGTCCCATTTTAATAGTTCAGTTATTGTGCTGGTGTTTTTTATTTGCCCACTTGATTGACTTCTTTTGAAAGCATGACTGAACCATTATATCCTGATGAAATTTTCTCTTTCATTTTGTTGTTGTGATATTTCGTCTTGTCACTAAAATTTTGTGTTTTAAATTAAAGTTACTCCCTTTTTTTTTTTTTTGAAACTGTAATTTTTCGCTACACTGATGCGCGGCTATCAGTTTTCAGTATGAAATTAATATGACGAAATCAACATAAACATGAAAGGTAAAGATGGTTCATAAATCTTGCTCGAGTAAATCAATTTCAAATTTTCAAGGTTTGAAATGGGCAGCAAAATTGAAAGTTGATAACTTCAAAGGGTTCTATGACTAATTCACCGTGACTTTTTCAGTACTTTTGTTTTGGTACGAAGTGTACATATTAAGTATCATTGGACCTTAAGAAAATGGTGTTTATCGTATGCTTGATCTCTGCAGGCTTTGCCTTTGGGATGTGTAAATTGTTGTTTTGTTAAAAACTTCCAACAGCAAGAGAGTAAGATTAAGTATTAGTAATATTTTATACTACCTCCGTCCCAGAAAAAAAAAATAGTCCACTTTAACTTTTGAATTTTATACTATTTTTAGTACAAATTAGAAAACTCAATGTTGACTAATTTTTTGAGACGGAAGGGGTTTTATTTTTCTGGTTAACCATGTTCGTTGAGAGAATCACATGATTAATTTCACAGAAATCGACTAGGTCAAAAAGGAAAAAGTATTAGTGGTAATAATAAACTAGTAATTAACCAACATACTACGTCAAATCTTTTAAGAGCACGATCCAAATTGGTCGATAGTAAGTTGATTATCTGTTTGGTACAGCAGAAGTGCCAAAAGTCCAACCAAATTAAAAAAAAAAAAAAATTCAAATTACAGCATTTTGAAAATAATCCATAACATTATGCTCTAATCACAACTTTACTCCACCGATGTTAATATAGTATCCATATTCATAATGTTCATCCACGGAAGATGACTTTTTGTCCATCTAAAAGCACTTAATTAATACTGTCCAAGAAAGTTCAATTCACATAATTAAGTTTACACTGGTTGATTTTTTTTTTCCCCCTCCTTTTTGGTGCAGTTTTTACGAGAGAAAAACTTCAAGCAAACAATACCTCAGGTGAAGGTAGAAGATGGCCAAGAAATCACCCATGAAATGGCCACTGCCACATTACGCCGGGCAGTCCATTTCTTCTCTGCTTTGCAGGCCGATGATGGCCACTGGCCTGCTGAAAACGCCGGCCCTTTATTCTTCCTTCCTCCCTTGGTAATCCACTCTTCAAAATCACTGTGAAAAAAAGAATCAAATTTGACCATTTCAAAGTTATCGGTGATTAATTTATATTTGACATGTAATTGAACAAAAAAAAAATTGCAGGTCATGTGTCTATACATAACAGGGCATCTTAACCAAGTATTCCCAGCTGAGCATAGAAGAGAAATTCTCCGTTATATTTATTGTCACCAGGTGCTGCTATACGGATCATAAATCGCTACGATTTATTTATTTTTGATACATAGAGTCGATCCCACCTGGTGTAACGAAATACTAATACTTAATTTGTTTTTGAATGAATGAATTAAATAATACAGAATGAAGATGGTGGATGGGGATTGCATATTGAGGGTCACAGTACAATGTTCTGTACCGCTTTGAGTTACATTTGCATGCGTATTCTTGGTGAAGGACCTGATGGTGGTCAAAATAATGCATGTTCCAGAGCAAGGAAATGGATTCTTGACCATGGCAGTGTTACTGCAATTCCTTCTTGGGGAAAAACTTGGCTTTCGGTATGACCAATTTTGACTAGAAATTCTCAGGATTGTTGTTGTCAGCGACTTTTACATTAGTACTTAACAAAACTTCTGCATTTTTTTTTCTTGGTGGTAGATTATGGGATTATTTGAATGGTCTGGAACCAATCCAATGCCCCCTGAGTTTTGGATTCTTCCATCTTTCCTTCCCATGCATCCAGGTCGGTTGATTTTCTTCTCATAGTCCAAGTTTCAATTCCAAATGTTCTGTTTTCACTGACTTAGAGTTGATTCATTTTTGGTTGTCTTAAATACAGCAAAAATGTGGTGCTATTGTAGAATGGTATACATGCCAATGTCATACTTATATGGGAAGCGATTTGTTGGTCCAATTACACCTTTAATTTTACAACTCAGACAAGAACTCTATGCTGAACCATATGAACAGGTTAATTGGACTAAAGTTCGACATGTTTGCGCAAAGGTACCGTCACCAGATCAGCATCTTTTGTGTTCCTTTTGGCTCTTTCCAAATCACATTTGATGCATTACTTTAACTTGCTGAAATTCATTCATTCAGGAGGACTTGTACTACCCTCATCCCTGGGTTCAAGATTTTTTGTGGGATAGTCTCTACATTACCACAGAGCCTCTGCTGACTAGGTGGCCTTTTAATAAGCTGATCAGAGAGAGAGCTTTGCAAACTACAATGAAACACATACATTACGAAGATGAGAACAGTCGGTACATCACCATTGGATGCGTCGAGAAGGTTTTATGTATGCTTGCTTGTTGGGTTGAGGACCCGAATGGGGATTACTTTAAGAAACATCTTGCCAGGATTCCTGATTACCTATGGGTAGCTGAAGATGGAATGAAGATGCAGGTTAGTTCACTTAATGCCATGTACTTTAAAAATTGAACTACTAAATTGCTACTCCCTCCGTCCCAAAATTATTGTCCAGTTTGAGATTTCACTTTTAGTACAATTTGAATTAAAAATGAAAATCCAAACTGGACAATAATTTTGGGACGGAGGGAGTAAAAGTTATCAAGTATGGTTCTGAGCCATTGATTTTGCAATGTTAATCCAGAGTTTTGGCAGCCAAGAATGGGATACTGGCTTTGCTATTCAGGCACTTCTGGCCAGCGATTTGACGGATGAAATTGGAGACACACTTAAGAAAGCGCACGACTTTGTGAAAAAATCTCAGGTTTGCATTTGCCTTAATTTATCAACGTTACGGTTCTGCAACCTACAAATCATTACATTAAGTAAAGCATGCGGCTCTTTGTTTCTCACAGGTTACAGAGAATCCTTCTGGCGACTTTAGAAGCATGCACCGCCATATTTCTAAAGGATCCTGGACATTTTCAGACCAAGATCATGGTTGGCAAGTTTCCGATTGCACTGCTGAAGGACTAAAGGTATCTTATCGAAAATAAGACCGAAAAATGGTAGTTATGGCTTGGATTTGTATCAAACAGTAATCAACTTATGGTTTTTATTTGCAGTGTTGTCTCCTTTTCTCTATGATGCCTCCTGAAGTTGTTGGCAAAAAGTTGGAGCCTGAACGACTTTATGATGCTGTGAACATTTTACTCTATTTACAGGTGAGGATTAATCAAACCTCATTTAACTACTTCCTATTAGCTTTCAATCAAAGATTCTCGAGGTTAAAATTTTGGTGCATAATGATCTAACATTTTTCGGGTTTGGTTTGCAAAATTCAGAGCAAAAACGGTGGTTTAGCAGCATGGGAGCCAGCAGGAGCAGAGAACTGGCTAGAGGTAGGTTTACCTGAGCAAAGACAGAACAAATTACACAATTTTATCTTTTTGACTACTGGAAACTCACCAGTTTGTAATCCCATTTGATCCACAGTTGTTGAATCCCACCGAATTCTTCGCAGACATCGTCGTTGAGCATGAGTAAGATTCAAGATCCTCCCTAATTTTTACCTCACAAATAATGCATTTTAGTGCTGATCATATTTCTGGATAACTAAATGGATAAATATTAATTGATTGATCCAGGTATGTTGAGTGTACTTCATCTGCAATCCATGCCCTTGTTCTGTTCAAAAGCTTGTATCCCGGACACCGAAGAAAAGAGATCGAAAGCTTCCTCACAAATGCTGCCAAATACCTTGAAGATGTACAAATGCCTGATGGTTCGTGGTATGGAAATTGGGGTGTTTGCTTCACATATGGAACCTGGTTTGCCCTAGGTGGACTTGCAGCAGCAGGAAAGACCTATAATAATTGCCAAGCTGTTCGGAAAGCCGTCAATTTCCTCCTGGAATCTCAAAGAGATGATGGTGGTTGGGGAGAAAGCTATCTTTCCTGCCCTGAAAAGGTAAAAAAACAAAAAGTGAGCATGTTACTTCTGTTATCATATTTATTGGCTAACAAAATTGGGGAGAAAATGCTCAAAAATTCTGATATCCATTGGGATGAATGTACAGAAATATGTTCCACTTGAAGAAGGAAGATCAAATTTGGTTCATACAGCGTGGGCTATGATGGCATTGATTCACTCTGGCCAAGTAAGTCAGAATCATAACTTCACTCCACCAATGATTGATTAGTGTGACCGTATGATAATGACATAACTGAATGTAATCATAACTCTGCATTTTCTGCTTTAACAGGAAGCAAGAGATCCTAAGCCTCTTCACCGTGCCGCAAAGTTATTGATCAATTCTCAGATGGAAAATGGAGATTTCCCTCAACAGGTGAAACACTAACTAACCAGAAAAATAGACAATGCAAAGATGAACGAGTGAGATTGTATTTTCATTGTTGATCTAAATTTTATTTTTTGGATTTTGTGATGGCAGGAAATAACAGGAGTTTTTATGAAGAATTGCATGTTGCATTATGCTGCATACAGGAACATATATCCACTTTGGGCTTTAGCAGAATACCGTAAGAGGGTGCCATTGACAAGCAGCAACACTATCTAAACTGGAACCAATCTGATGATTGATTGATTGACTGTAAAAAAAAAAATAAAATCTATATTTAGTGCGCCATAAATTTTATTTGTAAATTATTTTTATGCATCCTCAGATCTTTTGTAACATGAAAAAAAGAACACAATTGTATCCTTATCAAAAGCAAGAGAAATAAATTTTGGCTATGTTTCCATGTGTTCATCTGTGGTTTACTAGGCCTGGGCTTTGTTTTGTTTCAAAAGAAGTTAATCATTTGATTCATTGATCTTAGGCCACAAAATGGCCCAAAATAATACAAACGGCCATGATTAATACTTTCGTTGCTCCTTGCTGTCACGTAGGGATTTGGGACACAGTACATTCGTTCATTTTCTTAACTGTCTAGAGTAAACTGGAGCCGTCGATTTTAAGCTGACGGAATATACCTAACTATTACATAATTGCAATATGGATCCTCATATTTTTATTATATCTATTTTAACTCCCTATTCCATGACACATGCTCGCCTTTCTTTTATTCCCTTCTATGAATTTTATGCATCTTCATTTATACCAGTAGTGAGAGCTCAAGTTTAAACATTTTCTTCACGTTATTTGGTCGAATTTCAATGATTGATTATATTGAATTTTCTGCCACCAAGAATTAGAGCATTGTTTACTTTTGATATTACAGGATAACGAAATCAATTTAATTTAGTATGTGTTAATATATCCCTTCCACTAACTAAGACAAAAAAAATATATATATAGAAAAAAATAGAGACATACTTCACAACAACATTACAAAAGAACAAAAAATAATAAAAAGTAAAGATTGGCAAAAAAAAAAAAAATATTCATAACAAACAAAGTGGAAATGGGCCAAATGGCGGAGTTGATTATGAATTGTGAATTCAGAACTCTAAAAATGTTACCGATTGAAAAGTTAACACCCCTGCTAACACTATTATGTGTGTGGATGTGCCTTCACGTTTTTATTTTTAAGCCTTTAATAATTAGTAAAATTTTGTAAAAAAACATTCATTGCACTAAATAATGCAATTTTCCAAATTTTAATTAATTTATCTTAATTACATACTATATAGTGAGCACTATGCATCGTAACTAGTATTAAAACTAAATGCAATCATAAATATGCATTTTCTGGTCTAACAGGAACAAATGGATCCTAATCCTCTTCACCCTGCCGCAAAGTTATTAATACATTCTCATATGGAAAATGGAGATTTCCCCCAACATGTGAAACATTATTAATTAACCCGAAAATAGAAAATGCATAGATGAATAAGTGAGATTGGAACTTCATTGTTGATCTGAATTTTTTTTTGGATTTTCTGATGGCATGAAATAACTGAAGTTTTTACGAAGAATTACAAATTGAATTAAGTAGCATACATGAACATATATCCACTGTGGGCTTTAGTAGAATACCACAAGATGGTGCCATTGCCAAGCAGCAACACCATCTAAACTCCAACCAAGCAAATTAGGAGGATTGATTGACTGTTGACACTTTATCTCTATAATAATGTATATAGTGCGACATAAATTTGATTTGTACCTTTTTTCATGCATTTTGGAAAAAATTGGTTACACATAGCTTTTGTAACAGGAAGAAAAAGAACTTAGTCGCACAAAAAAAAAAAAAGAGAAATGTATTTCAGTAATAACTGATAATATTTTCTCTTTATTACCAATACAAACAATCATGAACTACAATAACCAAGTTGAAGGGGTTAGCTTGTAGTGAAAGTGCAGCAATAGAGGCTATTCTTGTTATCTATGGAAATTTCAAATTTCAGAAAAGGAAATAAAGGGTTGCTTGTCCACAGGTTTGCCTATCCATCTCTTCCGAAATCCCCAAAACTGTCTTGTCATCCACCTCCTGTAGTCCTAGCATAGGGGTAAGGTTATCTGGTATAGGTAGTCTACGTCCTCCATTCGTAGTGGGAACAACATAATAGGGTACTTTCTTGTATTCCGTCAAAGTTTTAACATTTTGGAAAAAGATTGAGTCAACAAGGTTGTCACATTGTGAATCTCCCCTTCGGCTCTATAGCCCATAAATCCACCTACAAAAAAAAATGAAAAAAACATGATTATTGCAAATGGGAAAAATGTTCAAAACCTGAAAGACTAAAAGATAATTGAAAAAGACTTTTACTTAGAAAGTATCTCTGTTTTTTTATCCTATTCAGGATTTTCTCCATTTTCTTCATACTGAACATTCTTCTCATTATTATATTCAAGCTCATTGTGAGAAAGTATAACTCTGATATTGCCTAAAATGGACATTAAGAAAAAACCGAAAAGAAAAAACCAAATCATTAAAAAGAAAAGGATAGGAAAATTATCTCAAAAGTACCATAGTTCTTTTATTCCCTTCATATGAATTAAAAAACAGATATATCTGATACACCGCTAGTGGGATGTCAAGTTTAAACATCTTTGCAACATTGTTTGTTTTGATTCCAAAGAATTGATTAGATTGAATTTTCTGCCACCAAGAAGTCGAGCATTGTTTGCTTTTGATATTATAGGGTAACAGAATTGTTGTAATGGAAAATAGAGACATTCTTCACAATAGCATTAAATAATAATAATAATAATAATAATAATAATAATAATAATAATAATAATAATAATAATAATAATAAATGTTAGTAACAAATAAAGTGGAAATGGCGGAGCTGATGATGAATTTAGTGGATTCAGAACTCAAAAAATGATAATAGTTTTCAGAATACACACTATTCAAGTATTCATCATGTGCCTTTTCGTTTTCATTTTTAAGCCGTTCGGAGCCTTTTTGTTAAATTTTGAAAGAAACTTTCATTTATTCACTAAATAATACTCTTTCTCACTTTTAATTAATTAATCCTAATTAGATAGTGAGAACTATGCATCGAAACTAAGAAATAATTACTTGAAAGTGACATGTCATCAGATTTTAAAAAAGTATTCATTCTGTTCAAAAATAAGAAATTTGTTGATTGAATCAATCATAAATTTAATGTGATTGATATTCCTTGAATCTGAAAAAGAATACACAGTAGACATTTTCTTTAGAATTTTAATGGAGTAAAAAAAAATTAGAAATTCTAGATGGAGGAGTTTGGTTCTACAATTTCAAGTTTAGGGTGCACCCTTGAGTTATATGTATCATATGTGCATCCCTAAAAAAGTCTAATTTTACAAAAATGGACTGAAATTTGAGAGCCATGACTAATTAATTTGATGTTATATAAAATTAAAGTCGAGTTTTGTGAAGCATGAATGTTTCTTTTTGAAAAATAATTATACTTACAACATATAACAAAATTTTATAAAGCACAACATAATTATACAAAAAAAAAAAAAGCAAAGTAGAGAATATACGTATTTCAGTAGTACTAGAGGAGTAAATCAATTTTTTTTTGGTCAACTATACTCATACTCTTCTAGTAAATTATACTCCCTCCGTCCCAAAAAAAAAGTCTACTTTGAGTTTTCAAATTTGTACTAAAAACAGTACAAATCTGAAAACTCAATGTGACTATTTTTTTGGGACGGAGGTAGTATTATACAATCACTAGTATCATGGCCCTCATTAATCCACTTTGTAAACTTTGTCTATCCATCTGCTTTGAATAAGCTGGTAATTAATTCAACAATTTCTCTAAATAATGCCCATTTCCAACTTTTAATTAATTTGTCTTAATTCTTACATATATAGTGAGCACTATGCATCGAAAGTATTAAACAATTTTTTCAGATGTTGGTACCTATTATCAGACTTTAGAAAAATATTCATAATATATATATATGTGTGTGTGTGTGTATATATATATGGAGCGGCTATAGTCCTGTTACGAGACGGTTCCGTTTTAGAATAGTAATCGTAGGATTAATTAGACTAATTAATAACTGTAGGATTAAAATGAGGGTGCACCATAAGTAAATATATCTAAATCCACATAATTAAACAGAAAAAATGGTCAATTTTACCCAAAGCTTCAAGTGTTTGGTCAGTTTGACCCAAAAGATTTTTGAGAAGCCAAATTCATAATCTAAATTTCAATTTATGGCCAATTTAATCCAATTGATGAAAATTCAGTTAGATTTAACATCTCCGCTGACATTCCGTTACTTTGTAACATTTTTTTTTTATTAGAAAACGATTTGTGGACCCCTTAAATTTTGACATTTTTATCCCAATGATATTAGTTGTTCTAAAATATACCCATAGAATTTCCAGAATCAATAAAATAATATTAAATTATAAAAATTATTTTTTAAAAATTATATTTAATTTTTTAAAAAAAATTTCTTTTTTTTTAACCGTAGTCCATCACTGTAGAATTTCATCCTATATTTTATGAATTAAAATGAAAATATTTATTTTTTAACAATTTAATATTAAATAAATAATAATAAATTAATTAAAACCACAACTAATAAAACAATATTAAATTATTAAAAAATTATTTTTAGAAACTCAAAATTATTTTTTAAAAAAAACTTTTTCGAAGTACTTTTTAAACCCTAGCCCATCACTGTAGAATTTTCATTCTATCTTCATCCTTTATTTCGTAAATTCTACCTTTTTTTTCAGTATCTACTAATAGGTAAATATAACTCACTACAATTTCATAAATTAAGCCATATCCAAGATAAGAAATTAGATTAGAATAAAATCTTAAACTTTAATTTAATTCTTCATTTTATCAGAAATTATCGTAAAAATAATATTTTTACTTTATTCTAAGCGCACCAAATTAAAAGTTATATCAAAATTTGTGCAAAGAAGATAAAAATTATATCAGGATTTGTTGTAAAAAAAATATTTTTTTAATTTTTCATTTGAGTTTCAAAAATTAAACATTTTACATTTTTATTAATTTAATATTTATTTTAATTCTTAATTATTTTTATGAATATAATTATTTTAATATTTTATTTAATATTAATTTTTTTGGAAAAAAATATTTTTATTTCGAAAATACCCTATTGAATTAAACATAAAGATGTTCAAACTCTTGGAATAGTCCAAAGGACAAACAAAAGTTACAAACAAAAATGTAAAGGACCATTTAAGCTAAATATTAATTTAGAGTACCAAAATGTGTGTTTGGCCTAATGTGAAGGTCCATGATAGCAAAAGAGTAATTAGTTTAGGAAATTGTAGAATGTTTTTTACCCCATGATTACATC